CTGTGCCCTTGTTTAATCATTACTACTGGCATCTGGGAACCAGGGCCATGAAACGTGATGTTTGTTACCCATGAGTAACAGTAAAACACTCATGTATGTAACACAAATAATTTTCATAGCTTAAGAAAACACTATTATTTACAAAAACTAAATGTATGCTTGTATGATCCAAAATATTACTTACCTGATACACATATGTACACCACCCAGCCATTCTACTCCCCATTCCCCCCACTTTAACATTTATGATCAGTGCCTTCATTCTTAAACTGCAATTAAAATTCAAAGCGTTACTTAATACCAGTAAGCCACTTACAGGGAAAAAAATAAAATATTCTATTCACATGTCAATTAGAATTCAGTTAATAATGATTTTCATAGAGAAAATTATATGTAAACCAAAATCCCATTTCAAACTGTAACAGAAAACACACTGAGGTAGTTGACTGCAATGTGAGGTAAGCCAAGGAGCCATGTTCTGCTCCTCTGGGTCACTGGACATCTATAAAAAGGAACACTGTTTAAAAGTTTTGCTCTTCTTGATCTCTGTTGAAAGCAGGCTTTAAAATTTAGCGAATGGGGTCAGCAACATTATATGATAATACTAAATCAGGAGACATTAGTTTAATAAAAGTCACTCCTAAAAGTTCATGCAACATGCTCACATTTACCATGTTTCTCTATTTAGAAACACTCACAACTCAATGAAAGGTGGGAAGAAACAAGGGCCTGGGCAGGCATCTGTCTTGACCCCTGCTTCTATTTCTGCAGCCACCAGGTGGCCTGACACCTTTCACACAGAGTAGAAAACTGGTGGCCCATAACACAGACTCACTCAGCTTTACACTGGCGTTGGAATACACACCAATGGTCATGTCTTTGCCCTACAACTTCAGCTCTACAAGGTCCTTAGGTAGCATGTTCAATCATGCAATATTCCTTTTTTTATTAATTCAATTTTTTCCTTTATCTTACATCACCACCAGTTTTCCCTCCCTCCTCTCCTCTCCTTCTCTCCACTCCCTCCCTTCCACCCCTCCCCTGTTTCTGTTCAGAAAAGGGCAGGCCTCCTGTGGGTGTCAACAAAACATGTAATAATGTCAACCAAGCATGTCAAGTTGAGGTATGACTAAGCCCCTCCCTTTGTATTAAGGTTGAGTAAGGCAACCCAGTAGGAGCCAATCACACAATATTCTTTTTAGGACAATAAAATTAGAGACCAAACCCACAGAGACAGCTGACCTGAGCTCTTGGGAACACATGGACTCTGGATCAACAGTTAGGAAGCCTGCATGGGATTGACCTAGGCCCTCTGCATGCGAGTGACAGATGTATATCTTGGTCTGTTTGTAAGGCTCCTGGCAGTGAGATCAGGACCTGTCCCTGGAGCCCAGCTGGCTTTTCGGAACTTGTTCTCCATCTTGATTACCTGGCCTTGCCCTTTGTGCAGGGGTGGGGGGTGGGAAGGAGCATGGTCCTCTCTCACCTTGATGTGCCATGCTTTGTTTTAGCCCATGGGAGGCCTTACCGTTTCTGGATGAAGATGGAGGAGGGCTGGAGGGGGAGAGGGTAGATGGTAGTCCAGGGAGGGAGGAGGAGGAGAGGAGGAAGGGGAAACTGTGGTCAGTTTGTAAAGAAAATGATAAAAATTTTAGAATAAAATTGAATTTAAAAAATTAAGAGACCAGATTCCAAGTCCCATGCTTGATGGATGACTAGTGATTTTACTATTCTGTCTAGAGAATGGCCTGGTGTTTTTCAGAACTTTCAGAAAAACTCAAACTCTTGTTATAACATAAAGGAAGACATTTTTGGTCACCAATGTCCTTGCTAAGTTTCTAGTACCAATCACCCTAATTCTTCAACAATCTATACTAGCTTCATCCTATTTCAGTAACTGAATAATTTATCAGACTCTCAAGTGTTATTCATTTTCATTGTGGCCCAGCCCTTGCACTCTGTCCCCTGCTATCCCTGAACTGAGGAGTGGGGGTGGGCACATGAGGGAACTGTGAAAGTAAAGTTCACACCAGTCTGATCACATTGCTGGTGATGCTGTGAGATACCCATTCCCAGAGATGCTAACTAAGTAGCTTCTGCAAGAAACAGCCAAGGCACTGCTAAGAAGCAGCTGCAGAAACTCCTTCCAAGTTTCCACAAAGTTCTTTCACAGAAAGCACAAGAATTAATTAACCTTCAAGTTGTCACACACAGGAATCATTATTCCTAACTTTTTATTGAGTTTTCACAGATTTCACATCATGCAAGTCATTTCAAATCACCAGTTCAGAAACTGATTTTCTGCCTTGAGTCAAAGAAGCTCAGAATTGCCCAGAAAGTGAAAAAAGAAGAAGGGGGAAAATAGAGAGAAAGAAAGCAAACAAAAATAACAACAAAAATTTAAGAATAAACAAACAATGAGCATTATTAAGAGACATTGCTCATTGAATTAAAAAGTGACCCAAGCTGGAAGAACTAAGACAAACAGAGAAAAAAAAAAAGCACAGAGATTTTATAGTTGCATGGAAGAAAGGTAAAATACCGAGTAAATACAGGCTTGTATACTCTTTGCCAAGTTCAACTTCATATGGCTCAACGCTGGCTCTGATTAGTCTATGTCTGTAACAATATTTTAGCGCTCTAAAGTCCCTCTTTATTTTCTTTACTAGCCCAAGTGTGAGCTCACTGAAACCTCAGACCAGCCTGAGGGCCAGATGGGTGTGAATGTGAAGATAATGTCCTTTCACTTGTGAAAGAGCTTAAAGACTGTCGAAGTTGGCGATAATGGCTTGTAGAAATTGTGTGTAATGTTGCATTAACTTGTAATTATCATCATTATTAAACTCACAGCCAAACACTCAGGGTGCATCTACGGGGCATGGTAAGTGCATGAAGGGCATCACCTGTGCCCTCTAGGAGCACTGCCAGCAACTTCAAGAGCAGAGATTGTAACCCTCAGGACACAGGGCAAAACTGGACAGTGCTATGCAGCCAACAACCATTCTGCTTAGAGATGAGGAGAAATGGCTAGACATAACTTTTGAAACTAAGTCTTAAAAAATATAGGTGACTTTTCAAGTTTGAAAACAAGCAAACAAGAAGTACAAGAGAAATCTACCAAGAGCATTAAGTGGAAAATTCCCTTTGTTGCTGAACCCTGACTTAAAAACATCCAAGTTTTTTTTAAGAAGCTCATTTGTCATCTTGGACAATAATGATCGGACTGACATTTCTGGCGTTGGCAAGCCGTCAGCGTTAAGAGACAAGGAGATAAGTCGGATCTGGCCATATCTTCAGCTTGTTTTTGAGTTTGCCAGTCCCTGCCTCTCCCTCTGTCTGCTCTGCTCCTGAAAATATGATTAATACCCGTGCATTAGCACAACTCTGCATTGTAAGCAAGGCCAGGGCTCCTTCCCAGCGAGGCTGGGGTTTGGAGTTAATGAGAAGTGAGGCTGTGGGGGAATGAACAGAAACATGCCAAAGCTGAAGCAATTGAGCGTGAATATCAAACACTGACTCGGGAGGGAACGCTCTTCATTTGCAGAAGGAAGGTCTGATCAGCTGGTGTGCAGATGGGACTCACACAACTCTGCATCCCAGCCAATCCCAGGATTTCATTCACTATAGTGTTGGTTCACTCATGCCATTCTAATGTCCTTTCTCTTTCTTCCCCTTTCCTTGTCTTCCTTTCTGCCTTTCTTTCATAAAACATTTATCGTATTTTGAGAATTTTATACATGAGTACTGTTTTTACATAATTTCCTCTTCACTTCAGGTCTGTCTTCCCCTATTCCATCACTCCTCTTCTTAAAATGTACACACACACACACACACACACACACACACACACACACACACACGGGGCATGCGTGGGGGGGGCGCTACTATCAGGGGCCTTGTCCCAAGAGAAGAGTGATTCCACTCTACATTTCTTTTTGGGATTTTAGTTTTAATTTACAGACATGAATGTTTGTCCAAACGTATGTTTCTGTGAGGGGACCCTGAACTTGAGTCACAGATTGTTGTGAGCTGCCATGTGAGCACTGGGCATTAAACTAGTGCATCTAGAAGAGCAGACAGTGCTCTTAACTATTGAGCCATTTTGCCAATACTTTGCCTGTAGCTATTCATCTAATGTTTCCTGTGCATTAAAAAATTATCTCACTTCTCCCCCAGTCTTAAAAGGAATTTACTTTTTGAGCACAGCCACTGAAGTTTCTTTAAAAGAAAAGATGCACGATTTGACTATACCCATTTAGAATAATACACATTGAATTCTAAAATTCTGTATTGAATACTAAAACTTGTGGAACATTTAATCAATATCTACTATAATTCACTACTGTGTAATTCCCTTCACCCCCAGTTAGATCTTTTATGTGGTTTTTAAGTATAAAGGATCTGAGGGAAATTTGCACAACAGTAAAGAAGAGTGGCTATTATACATTTCATATTATTTTTATTCAGAAAAAACCCCAAAATATTGTAGAAAAAAACTTTTGATTCTGAAATTCTAGGAGTATATAATTATGCCTATTTCTAAAAACTCATTCCTAATGACACTTTAGTAGAGTTTACATTGAGAAAAAATAGACACAGTTTATAAGTGCATTAATTGGGGACTGGTTAAGTAAAATATTAATATAACCCATTTGGTAAATGAGATTACAGTATCTGTGAAAACATATAATAATCAAAGAGGGGATAAATAGCAATAAGTTACTAAACATGTCCTGGTAAAGTATAACCATATTGAATACATATGAAACATGCATGCTTATGGTATTAATTAATGCATAGCTGATGGTGATAGCATTTCTAATACTATGTTTCTATTTGCCACTTTTAAAGTTTCTATTTTAATATATGTTAACATTTCTACAGCAAAAAGTATGAAACTATGAAAATATGAGTTTTCAAATCCATACCCACCATCCAAGAGAGTCAGAGCGACAGCATGAGCAAGCGCTTCAGTATAAAAAAAAGCAAGAGTGCTTTACCTTTTCAGTGTAGTACTCTCTGACTTCAGGCCTAATAGAATCAAAGTCCCCACTGATGAATTCAGGCAAGAATCTGAAAGAAACAGTTCCATGTAAGTTAACTAGACTGATCCATTCATTTATGGACTTTAAAACTACAGTTGTAAGGGCCTGAAAAAAAAAATTAAGATACTCGAAACAAGAGGAAACCCAGACCATTTTCAGAGTAAATGGGATGTCCTATTATATACTCCTGATTCCTGCACAGTGGAGACCAACAACTATAAGCTCAACTCAAGCCATCAGCATTTATTGTTTCAAACAGATAGAGACTGATGAAGGCAACTGGTTAAAACAAAACAAAACAAACAACTAAAAAGTTCTAATTACAAACAATCTCCCCCCTTCTCTGCTCACGTCTCATCTATAGATCTTATCATTTAACTCTCACACAAGCTTAGATCTTACAATGGATTTTAACAGAATGAACACATGACCAAGTCAGTCCAAACACATTTTCAAACACTTAGTGACATATTTCTAAAAATAAGATTCTTCTGGGAGGCTTAAAATAATCCTATGAAGACCAGGGTTATTTTTGTTGTTTGTTTTGTTTTGTTTTTTCAGCAGATGCCTCAACAGATAAAAGTGCTTGTCATTATGCCTAAGGATCTGATTTCCATCTCCAGGACATATGTGGTGGAAAAGGCGATCATCCATGGCATGCTTGCCGGTCTCCAAATCATCCAGTTACTCAATGGATGCAAGTTATAAAATAACCCCAGGTTTTGTCAACTTAACAGAATCTAGAATCACACAGGAAATGGGCCTTTTGGCATGCCTGTAGGGGGTATTGTGACATGGAAAAACAGTGTTCACTGTAGGTAGTCCCACTCTCCCTGAGCAGTGAGTCCTAGCCTGTGTAATATGGATAAGGCAAGCTGAGCACTACCATGTGTTTACTGTTTGGGACTCTTAATCATGGATGAATTGTGACCAGCTCCCTCAAGCTCCTGCCACTGTGAGAAAGTGGAACCCTGAATTGTAAGCCAAAATAAACCCTCTCCTTCTTAGGTTGCTTCTGTCAGCACAGAGAAACTAAGAGAGATGCGAAGGGCAGATATATCAGGAGCAGGAGCCCAAATGGAGAAATGGACTTTTTCTTGGGAGCTTCTGGCTTTCAGGTGAGGTAGATCACCTGATGTGTGACTGAGTTTTTCATGAATGTTTGTGTGTGTGTGTGTGGGGGGGTAAAGGACTGGGATTGGGCTGTAGAGGGGCCTGTGTCTGACACATACACTGGGCACATTTCTATGCTTTCAGACTTGTATGTCTAATGACACTTGACATCTGGCTGACAAAGTCAACTTGACAGGAACAAGGGGCTGTGATTGTTCAACTGAATCTTGATGCAGTTTCAAAGCTTGAAGATCTAAAAAAAGTTGGAAGGACTGAAGGTGGTTTTGCTTTCACAGCTACATTTTCCTCCTTGATCTCCACCGGAATGCTGGGCATGATTTTACTGCCTTCGTTTCTTTTTTCCCCCTTTACATGTTCTTATTGCTTGTTTACTTAAGTAATGGTAGTTTTCCTCCACAACAACAAAGACTTTGCCTCTCTTGACTATTGATTCTTCCTCTTATGTCTGTGATGGTGAGTACCACTGTCTCTCTTCGAATGCAGACACAATATTGAACAAATAAGTTACTTTGGTATGGGTACGTGTTACTCCATTTTGTGGCCTTGATGTTTGCTTTTTTTTTTAAGCTGAGTTCCCTACTAGCTTGTGGATTCATCAGTGATTTAAGCCTCAGCTTAATGCCCTTTGTTGACACTCAGCAGAGGATACATTTGGAAGCAGTAAGTGACTACTGAGTCATATCAGTAGGCTCTTACTCACAAAGGCATGTGAATGGACCATCCTGCTCACTGTCCTACACACTCCAGAGAAGCAGCCATGGCTTAGATGACCACAGGGAATGGATAGTAACTGCTGTAATCCTCAGAGGGGTGGAAGCAGCATGGGGGCACTTTGTGATACATTTCTGTCCCCACCCCTGTTTTATTAACACTAGTTAGATGCTATATGTTCTAATGGACGCTGTCCTAAATAATGAAATTCTATTTTCAATGAGTGAATTTTTCTATCATCTGTTTTACATGGGAAATAAAGATCATGATCTAAGAAACCTTCAAAAAAAATAATGTCAGGTTTTACACAGGAATGTGCAATTTCTTGTGGTATTGAAAACTAGTTTAATACACTTTCCTGTTATTTTTAAAGGAAAAATGAGTTTAAAAACTCATTTTTAAAAATCCATTTAACTCTAATCTTTACAAGTCATCATTTACTTCGCATAAAGTACTTCCATGACTTGGAAGAATTTCTCTGCCCCCACTTAACACCTCTAACTATGGAGGGAAAAATGACCCCGGATTTCTCAGTGCTCTAGCAGACAGTAAGATAGGAGTCTCCCACAGTGCATAGCAAAGGAAATGTATATTTTCAATTAATTAGTTATCTGGTTCAAGGAAATAGCAACACTCTTGCAACACTGGCTTACGTATATAGGTATTGCATGTGGAAAGAGAGGGAGCCCCAGAACTGAGAGATCAGTCTAGGTCATAATAGCAACGACCTCAGCAGTCTTCTTCTGGCTCTGGAGAGATTCTACAGAATCTGAAAATCAAAGGGTTAGGGGCAGGTCCACATAATTTACAAGGAGACCTTTTCCAGAAGCAAGGGACACAGCTGCCATCTTTCACTTAAAAGGCAGAAAAATAAAACCATATTTTCTTTTCTTTACCCACAGTGTGCCAAATGCCAGCAGTAGGCAACTGACCTGGCTCTCAGCATGGGCTGAGGTTGAAAACCAGAGTAATCTTAAAGTAAGAAATACAACTCAGAACACCTTATGTGTGCATTCAAGATAAAATTGGTAAAGTTGGAATATAAAATAAGCTAACCTTGTCTCTTATACAATTTTGTAGCTCTTAATTCAACTAGAAACATTATTTCTTAGGTCAAGCCTCATCTGACTGAGATGGTTTGGGCAAATTTACCCTTAAGTTACACAACTTCCTCTGAGCACACGGTAAGAGAATGATGTATGACAATGTGGTCCAGATAGTGCACTGCATGGTAGAACATGCCTGGAGATCAGTACTGGGAGACGGAGGTAGGAAGACCAGGAGTACAATGGGTGATAGAAGGAACCGTTACCACGAAAACCAGCATCTGGGGCTGTGGTTCAATGGTAGAATACTTGCCCAGCATGCAGAAGGCTCTGGGTTCAATTCTCAGTATCAATAAACAAATAAAACACAGTATTCTGTACCACGTACATAATGTGAGAGAAAAACGAGAATCAATTAATTGCTTTTCATTATTCATCCATGAACTATTTACTGCATGACTGGGCACAGCAGACTAGGTTGCTTCAAGATGAGATAGAATTAGAAAGGAAACAGACTTGGGTTTTAAGTGGTTCCAAAGGTCTTGCTATGATCTTTCTCAAAACCTCCTTGGTCATTGTATCTATTATTTCATTTTCTTTTTTACTTGTTTTCTGGTTAAATAAATTCACACACTTTCAAAGTTTCTTTCAAAACCTTCTACTGGACACTATTTTGCCATATGTAAATTAATACTTTTTTTTATACCACAGAGGATTAGATCTGGAAAGGGTAAAAGGAATCATTTCTCTTATCCCCCATTACTCTGCAGAGCTGAGATCAAACCAAGTGAATGTATGACCAGTGACCAACCCACTGCACTGTGCACAAAAGCCACTAAGCTGAGAGCTGCCATCTGTACCATCTGCTTCAAGCAAACTTCCTAATGAGACTCATTTTGTATCAAATTGTAGTCCTTTAGAAATCTAGAAACAAATTGGCAGTGTCTAAATAGCATATTGATTTTTATAATAAATAAAAATGAAAAATTGAGAAATAAAGGTTGATACACCCAGACAGATGAGCATCTGTCCCACAGGATAGATCATCGTTAAAAGAGAATTACATTTCCTTTTATCAAACACAAAGAATAATGTAAGAAAGCAATCATTTAAATTCATTTATAATTTATACAAAATATTAATAGGAAAACAAAGTCATATAGATAAATGATAACCGACTTTAGTTACCTTTAATATATTTTTCTCCATGTCACATACACGGCACATTCCTACTAAATCAATATGGTTATTTCTAAGAAGACTCATGCCAAAAATAACCTGGCACTCATGCTAAGATGACTAAGATTATTGTAAGTTTCAATCATAAAATACAATATATAGAACTTCCTGAATTGTACTTTTTATGTTGCAATTAAAAGCCCACTGCAATGTTATGCAGTGCCTGTTACCATGGCACCTGGGCATTCTGAAGGCTTCCCTACGATGACACTTCACAGATATTGAGGAGTTATGTTATGATATAAATGACAGTTTACACAAGAAGATTATTTTTAGGCTGACCACACTTAGCTACTGACTGCAGGGACATAGGCTTGCATAGCCCCTGGCCCCATCTGTCTACTCTAGAAATGGATCCAAACAACATACTTGCTATTTTCAGTCCAAAGCAGGTGTTTTAGTATTAAAAGATGTCCAAAATTCCCTGTCCACCCAAACTACAACTTACTACACTTCATTTATCAGTGACAAAGAGTCCAAAAAGGGCTGAGATAATTGATGGACTAATGGCCCAGTACAGGTAATCACCCAGGAGGCTGGTATTGGTAGAAAACAAATCTATGAAGAAATGCAATCTTTCAAAATCCCTTTTCTGGTGAGTGTGTAGGAGCTATTCCTCTAGAACGTCCTCCGTGTTTCTACCTCCAAGGAAGATTCTGCTCCTTCCTTAAAACTCCAATAGTATGAGAGCTCTCACAGGTAAGACTCCTCTGTGTCTTTCAGTTTCTGTAAGAGGACTAGTCTTTGAAGCAGGAGTGACTGATTAACTTCAGTGTTCTTCAAGTCAGCAAGGTGGAGATGAGAAGGAAACAGAAGCATAAAAAAATAAAGGATGACAGAGAGAAACGAGGGATTAAGAGAAAGTAGGAAAAATACAGACTATTCTCCAGCCTCTGAA